AGCAGCCCCCCCAGCAGCGCGTGCAGGGCGCCCAGCACCCCCTGCACCTCGTGGCGCCAGCCCTCGCTGTGGCGCAGGCCCTGCGCGAAGCCGCGGCCCAGCGCCGGCAGCAGCGCGTAGCACTCGCACGCCAGCTGGGAACAACGGATACACTGGGATACACTGGGATACACGGGGATACACGGGGATACACGGGGATACACGGGGATCCGCCCTGGATACACTGGGATACACTGGGATACACTGGGATACACGGGGATACACGGGGATACACGGGGACTCCCTCTGGATACACTGGGATACACTGGGATACACGGGGATACACTGGGACCCCCCCTCCCTGATACACTGGGATACACGGGGACCCTCCCTGGATACACTGGGATACACTGGGATACACGGGGACCCCCCCTGGATACACTGGGATACACTGGAATACACGGGGACCCTCCCTGGATACACTGGGATACACGGGGAACCCCTCTGGATACACTGGGATACACTGGAATACACGGGGACCCCCTCTGGATACACTGGGATACACTGGAATACACGGGGACCCCCTCTGGATACACTGGGATACACTGGGCTACCCTGGGATACACGGGGACCCGCCCCGGATACACTGGGATACACTGGGATACACGGGGACCCCCCCCCCGATACACTGGGATACACTGGGATACACTGGGATACACGGGGACCCTCCCTGGATACACTGGGATACACTGGGACCCCCTCTGGATACACTGGGATACACTGGGCTACCCTGGGATACACAGGGACCCGCCCCGGATACATGGGGACCCCCCTTGGATACACTGGAACCCGCCCCCAAACCCACAGCCCAGTGTCGGCAGCAGCGCGGAGCACTCGCACGCCAGCTGGGAGCAATGGCATACACTGGGATACACGGGGATACACTGGGATACACTGGGATACATGGGGACCCGCCCCGGATTCGCTGGGATACACTGGGATACACTGGGACCCCCCCCCAATACACTGGAACCTGCCCCCAAACCCACAGCCCAGTGCCGGCAGCAGCGCGGAGCACTCACACGCCAGCTGGGAACAATGGGATACACTGGGATACACTGGGATACACTGGGATACATGGGGGGACCCCCCCCCCACCCTGGGATACATAAGGATACACAGACACCTGCCCCCGGATACACGGACCCAGTGCCAGCAGCAGTGCGTGGCACTGGCATGCCAGCTGCGGGATAATGGGATATACTGGGATACACTGGGATACATGGGGACCCCCCCTGGATACAGCGCAATACACACGGACCTCCCCCAGATAAACTGGAACCCCCCCAGATACACAGGCCCAGCGCCGGCCGCAGCACGGAGCGTGGGCATGCTAGCTGGGAACAATGGGAATGCCGGGATACACCAGGATGGCACCGGGATAAGTGGGGATACATTGGAACCCCCCCCAACATACCCTGGGTGTCAGTGACCCCCCCTAGCCAGCGCCTGGAGCCGAGACCCCCCCAGACCCCCGAGACACCCCCAG